AATCGATCCACAAATCAATTTCTTTACTATGAAAAGTTCTGCACTTGGTTGTATTCGGGTGTAATGGTTCCCATCTTCCCAAGAGGCAAGGAAATTGGATATTTTTTATATGGGAATCGTTGGGACTAGTTGTGAGGTCAGTCCATTGGACAAAACCCCCTGGCACTTTTTCAGACCTCCCTAACAGTTTGCACGCGATCCGTGGTACATCTTGGGTGGAGAGGGAAAGACCAAACAAAGCCTAGCGGAGGGAGGGGTAAGGAGGCACCGGCCAGGGCTAGAGCCCAAACCTTTCCATTTTTTATGTGAACTGCCGGCCGCGTTTCCCACCCTCTAATATCAGTTTAATGTAAGCTTGTATAAGTGATAGGGAAAAATGACAGGGTCATTGGATTGTTCATGTAGTGGTTTTTTGTTATAATTTCAGTCCACCTGGCATCTAAAGCAGCTAAAGTACATCTGTGAAGCTGCCAAGGTGAGCTGTTCTGAGGTAAACGTGAGAAAGACTACAGAGACCAGGAGTGAGACGAAGGGAGGTGTACCAGAACAAGACCATGGCGGACAGGGGATTGGAGACCAGTGACGCAATGGTTTAGGAACTTAACGAACCACTCACTCTCAATTGAAGTGAATATGATCTTCTGAGATCTAGTGGAACATTGAGAGTAACAACATCTAAAGTACGATATGTACAATAAATATGGATAGTAGGTGTAATTTGAGGAGTAAATAAAGCGATTTATGAGCAAGAAATATTTCATTTATTCTGAGTTAAAGACATTAATTAATGGGGCGCACACGAACAAGAAAAGGTACCAGAAGAATGATAGACAAAAGTATCAATAGGCGATTTGATTAAAACAGAAGTCGCGATCTGTGAAAAAATATCATGGGTCAATTTTTGTGACAAGCAAAAGAAAAATCAAGAAGCGTGAAAAGAAGCGAAGAAGATCACGTGTGTACACAAACATTTGTATAATGACGTGTGTAACTGTGACAACCGTAATCCCTCTGGCTTGCCGCCTGGTTGTTCGAAGGCAGATTAACGCTGAATCATTTAATCCAAGTTTCTATATTTCTCTGTTCAAAAGACCATTAGGGATAATTTTCTATATTCTTTTAAGAGCATCTAATTATCAAATTGTAGACAAAACAAATTTATACTGAGATTTCTTTTAAAAGCTTTCAGATCTGCAGTACAATTTTACACTAAGCCTGGGTTATCTTAAAACTACTTTGAACAACCTGGCTGGCTGCTGGTTTTGCTTTATCGTCAGAATTAGGATTTTAGTTAATGAAACGTAAGTGGATTAGTTCATTTCATTCAAAAGGGAGAACAAGCCAAATTCTGGAAGCTTTAGTGAAACACAGTCGATCCCCGTAAGAAATGATCAATCTGTGGTTACGAGTTATTTTACGTGTAATCTAAGGAAAGTGTTGAGTGCAAACAAAACTCAAAATTGTACCAGGGTTAAGCTGGGGTGTGGACCCTGGTATGCCTGTGATCGCCACCCCCTCCACCCACTGTGGGATGATTTTTTTTTTTTGTTTGTTTTTTAAGTCACCAATATACAATATTAGTAATTCAGACATTCAAGACACAAGCGAATCCAAACAATCTGCATGGCATTAATTTTTTTTAGTGCTCGTTAGTCCACATGTCCTTCCCGCTCTGTAGATACGAGCCCACTGATATACGCGCGTAGTGATTCGTGTTATTATATCGCTTGTAGCGCTCGTGGGCAATACGATGCGAAACCGGTAAGATGGGCCCATACCACCCGCTCGGGATTGCCTGCTTTGATTCCGCGCCAGAAAAAAATTGAGTCAGTACCAAGTTCGTAATTCGTGGACAATGTCGGTGATGGAAACACACAAAGTGGCGGATGACAATCAAAGTAAACAAAACATAAACGATTCCTATAACTTTATTTTGCTACAAACACAGTTGGCTTTCTTTCACGGCTGTCGAAGTAAACAAGCCATTCTTAATTCCTCTTAAAGCGAAATCTTTTTGCCATACAATAAATCCTTAATTACCAAGCTTGTTCAATCAAGATGGCAGGACATTGGCTGGACATTGTCTCTGTCGTGAAGCATGACTTCCGCTGTGGAAGCCTTTGTTTTTATAGTGGATATTTAGATCGATGTCAGTATCTGAGTAATTATGTACCTACCTCTCCCCTAACCCAAGCACGGTCAACTGATGACAATTAAAGGCTAATATTGAGCTAGGGGAGGGGTAGGTCTACAGTTGTTCAGATGCTGACATTTCAATACCTGAATGACTATGTGAGTACCGTGAGATATTTTGTTTGTGCCATGAGTTTCTCTTTTATACGCCAGTATAAACACAGGCACAGGAAAATACCATTTGTAAGTATTTAACCTTGCGGCGGTGCTTTGTACTCGTGATTCTTGAACATAAGCATGCGTAGCATGATATAGTTATTTTTGTTTTAGCTGGGCAGGTCGAGATGAGACACTTTGTGTTCCTCGTGTTCTCATAACTTTCAAGAGAACGAAAATATCACATTACTTCACTTTATGAGAAAGAGAAAAAGCCTAATTTATCTAAACCCACGCAGTTATTTCGTGGTCTATTGTCTCTACTGTCTAAATGTTGCTGAGCAAAAATATAGTGCATCGTTACCACACAGCCTCTGTTTGGTCTCGTCACACAACGCTATCTATTCCCCTTTGGAGAGAGAGCCATTGCGTAACGGGACAAAGTAACGGTTGCGAATTAGAAAGAGACTACGTTTACAACAATTATAATTTCCTCCGACAGAGAGAAAGTCAAAATTATTCGTCTATAGTTAGTCGCCTCAAAAATATAATTTCACGTAATTTTACAACGAGATAAATAAATAAATCGTTTATTAAAAAAGAAACACCTCGCAGTCCGAAGACTGAATTACGTGTATAATATACAAGTTATAATTAAAATGGATTTAAAAAACCATAATAATAGAAATGTACAATCTAATAAAAACATTTCACATAGGATAACCTTGTGTTAGGAAAATATACATACTTAAACAAATTCATTTACATACTTAGGCTATGACTAACAATAAAGATTTTTTAAGACGATCAGTCTTAACTGGAAAATATGCGCAGTTGTGCTCGCTTGAATAGAGCAGACCTGCGAGATTAACATCAAGAACAATGTCGTTAAAAAAATCAGACGATAGAGACGCTCGCCTGTCATAAAAGAGGGGATGCCTGCCTCTTTGGGCACGCTGTTTAGCTTGCATAAGGAAAGATAATGCGCAAGGCGCGCTTCTGAATACGTTCCAGCTCCTCGGATAAATAGTACGGAAGACTGGAGTGAAATACTTGACATGCGTATTCTAAAACCGATCTTGTGGTACTGCAGTAAAATAAAACAAGACCACTCGCACAGATACCAGCTCGTTTAAGTTGACTCAGGAGGTACAATCAACTGAAACTGTCCTATCTCCAATAGACCCTAACCGAAGATATGTTGTGATCGTGAATAGGTGCAGATACATTGAACAAGAGAAAAGGATAATATTTCAAAGAGGGCACCTTTATTGATTGTTGCCAATCTGAACTTTGCCCTCTTTTTGCGAAATACGTGATAAAATGCAGGTTGTTTACAAGGAACTAACAAACGATTGGGTGAGGTCCAAGGTAGCTAAAAATGAATGTTATCTGTAGAAAAGTCAAAACGCGGGAGAATTGCGTGGAAAATTCACTTTCAGAAGCATTAAGTTCCATGTGAATTTTTTTTCCAGTGGTGTTGGATAATTCGGTTAGAATACGTGATGAAATGCAGGTTGTTTACAAAGAAATGGGATGTGATGGTGCGAAGTCCAAAAATGGAATTTGACTGGTAGAATACAGTAGTCCAATTTTACAGTTGTGTGCTTGGTTGCCAAGCCTTTGAACAGGAGTGAGGCCAAGGGTGACCTTGTTATGATACAAACCTTGCTGCTTTTCAAATGCAAATTACTTTGTTATCATGCTAATTGGATACTGGTCTCTATCACAACGGGGTCACTTTCAGCTTCGCTCCAAATCAAAGGCTTGGCAACTAAGTACACAACTGTAAAATGGCCTATTCAGAGGATTGGGCTTACTTGAAGGCCGGGATTCAGGAATTTAAAGAAAGAAGAGAGCGAGATGCGGGATTGTTATTATGAACGGGACACGGGAATCGGCAATTTTGAGGGGCGGGACTCTGGAAATAGTCACCTTAACGAACCGAGAATTGGGAAGTCCGTTGACGCGAATTTATTAAGTCCAAAAAAGCCTAGCCTCCCACGCAGTCGTTTTCAGAGGATCGCGTTTCACTTCTACCCACACAAAGCGAAAGTGAGACTCAATCCCCAAAAACGCCTACGTAGGAGGCTAAAAAGAAAGCCGCACAAAGGTTGATATTCTTATCTAAGCACGTGCCAGGTACACAGCCTTTGCCCTTTGCTGTTGTTTTCTTTGCGACTCCTTGGTGATATCTGGACATTCTTAGCTTTGCCTTGTCCTGTAGTAGTGACCTTTGATTTCTTGGTGACCGACCAATTTATTAATCGGTGTGAAAAAAATAGAGATGTCAGCCACTATCGAGAGCGATGAATCGGACTTCGACATAACGGACGTAATAAATTGTGTAACAGTCTTTTACGAGAAGGGGAAGAGCGGAAGAAAAATGTCAGGCTCAGCTTTCACGAAAGGTGGTCTCCTTAAAGGCTCTCAAGGAAATAGTTGGGTAAGTTACGTTTTTTGTTGTTACCATGTTAGAAAACCCATAGAAGAAACCCAAGAGGGTTATGAAAGATATTCTAGAAGAATTGGAAAAGGGCACAAGAGACCCGTTTTTGTCCTTGGTTGTACCATTAACGGACAGTGTTCATGTCGGCAAAAGTCTCAAAGCTGGTTTTGCTAACTGGTACTTGAAGCTCGAAAATAAGAAGGGCAATCTGGCAATTTTGAAAACTTTAAGAAACAAGGCAAGTCCTGAAGTTAGGAAGACAATGCAAAAGTTCCTACACCGAAATGATCATGTACAAAACAAAGACCGCCGGGATTCAGCGGCAGTAATCAGGTTGGCTGATGAAAAGCTTATCGAGTACCTCCAGCAGCAGGACTTCGTAAACCACACAATTATACCAGAAATGGATCACGTTACTGAACACAGTAGGGTGGGAATGTATCTTCTGTAGCCTGCTGTTTCTCACCCTGAATCAAGAAACGGGTGGATCAAATTTGTATATAGCTCAGTTGCACAACCCAGTTCAAAAGGTTGAAGTTCTTAAAGAGTCTGTTGCTGCCAAAGAAGTCCACTTTAAGAACAGTGTCGTATTTCTAGCTGGCAATGAGTTAAAACGCGATTATGAAGCGAGAGGATTCCAATGCTTAAATACGGCGTTGAAAAACTCCAGCAAGTTTCAGAATTATACGGATATGACTCTCTTAACCTGTTAAGTTTTATGACACTAGATGTGGAGAATATTCACTCGGTTGTGCATCACAAAGATCCACTTTGCACAGTGTTGAACTACGCGAGAAACTTTGGAAACGCAGCCAAGGAAGGCTTAAAGAAGGCAACCCATCGGGCGGCGTACTATTTTACAAATCCGAAGTCTTGGTAAGCTGTACCCGAACGTGCTATGATCCTGTCAGCCATACCAGTAATTCAACCATTACCACCTGTACCGATGGCACCACAGAGTGTACAGAAGATGAGGGACTGGGCGCAAACATTTGGTGCTGCAGTGCGTCAGCGTTTTGTCAGACAGGAGACAACAATGGCAAGAGCTGGAACTCTCCCATCCTACCTCTGCCAGAGAGAAATTCAGCAGGGTGAACCGGTCAGCCTCGAACGCTCTGACCTCGAGGAGCAGTAGGAAAAACACGAGGAGGAAGATATGATGTTTAAGTACGATTCCCCAAGCAGTGATGAAGAATCGGCCAACGACGAGACCGCGTGTGATGTTGGTGAGATTCTATCTTTACAACGAAGGCGAATTTTCTCCTCGGAAGAGTTTCTCGTTTCGGAAGAAGTATTCGCTTCAACAGCAGAATTTTGTTCAGTTAATTTTTCTTTATTTTCCTTGTTATGAAACTATGGATTGCCGTCACCTTTTGTTTTTTTTTTTTATACTTTTGTTGACATTGCTGTTCGTTTCTTTGATACTGACCTGTCTCTACTAATACGCTTTTCCATGATCGAAGTTAAACAGAAGGAAGTCGTGACTGCGACTAGCGTACGTTATTCGTGCAAAACTTCGAAAACTTCTAAAATGAACAATAACATAGTTTTGGTGAAAAGAAACCAACGTCTGACGGTGAGCAAAGACTTCAACGGATCAATCCTGGTTGAGAAAAGGCCCCTTTAACAACTGCAAATATATGAAAATCATATATATGTGAACTGCGGTTGAAGAAATGATTATGAAAGCGATCTTCGCAGTTATGAACACTACTTAACTAGTAGTAAAAATGAGACCTGAAAAAAATTCAGGCCCGTACGGGATTTGAACCCATCACCTCTGTGATACCGGTGGAGTGCTCTATAAACTGAGCTAACAAGCCAACTGAGAGCTGGTCATTGTGTTTGTATAAACCCCCCAAGGGATGAATAAATGACTGCAAATGAAAATCATATAAATTTGAACTGCGGTTGAAGAAACGAATATGAAAGCGATCCTCGCAGTTAAGAATGCTACTTCACTAATAGGCCCTTTTAAATTGAGGTATTGGGCTAAGAAAAAAATTTATGAACGGTATCAGGATTCGCCGGTATAAACCATCGGGATGACGGGATTAAGAGAAAATTTTAGTGAGGATCGCGGGATTGAAGAACCTTATCGGAGACCTTCAAAGTACGTGATAGAATGTAAGTTGTTTCACATGTACATCATGGGAAAAGAGGCGGAAAAACACGTTTTGTCTTAAAAATGATACCGAATAAAAAGAAATGCGCACCTTAGATATCCCGATAAATCTCGACCGATCTCTGCAAAGGCCACAACCACTCATATGAACCCAAAATAAGCCCAAAATTTCTGGTTAACGTCATTCTTTGTGCACGGCCCCCAAATTCTATGACTTCATTTACAAGAAAACAATATCCAAACGCTGTGATTGGTGCAAGATATCCAATTACGGCGATATGATTGGTGCGAGATACATAACATAATGCAACAATCTGATTGGTGCGAGATACATACTTTAATGCGGCAATCTGATTGATGCAAGATACATACCCTAGTGCGGCGATATGATTGGTACGAGCACCATACCACTCTACACGCTAACATAGAGTTATGTTTTTCCTTAAAAAAATACTCAAAAACGCACACCCTTCAGGGGCTCCTTGGGTATCATTTTAAGAACATGTTATCAAACCCCTGCGGACTTTTGTTTCTATATGTTTGCTGACCATTGAGATCCACACAAGTGGAATTTTTCCAGGATCGAAGAGAACTGAGTGATACGGTACGAAATCTTGATGTGTGCAAAATAAATAAAATCTGTTAATTGTTAAATGTTTCTCAAACTTTAGGCGCGCGAGACTGCACCGTCTGTTTGTTTTCACGTTAAAGCCTGCTTATCCCTAAACCAGCCTTTTTGATTGGTGTTTCACAATCGCGATATTCATTCCTTGTTATCATCACAAAGACTAGCTATCTACGCAATTTTAAAGATATGATAATGGTTTTTAAAAATTTGCTTCGAAAAAATTCAATTGGCATCGGTTACACATATAAAGTGAACCATCTATCAGACTTCTGTCCGTTCAAGTCGCGACTCGAGTAAGCTACATTCGTTTAAATAGAGCAGGTCGCGCGTTATGTAATCATGTGCCGAAAATCCTACTCGTCTGTAGATTGTCCCCTGTTGTGTGATAACGGATGCACAATTTGGTGGATTTACGAGCGTAGAATAGAATGGACACAATTGTTAACAGCTTTCGTGTACATCTCTTCATTGTTCCAACGTTATTGTTATGTGAATGTAAAGGTAGTAAAATGGGCAATCTTCTACGAAAAGGAAATTTATCTGGAGCTGGAAAGAGCTCTTATCATTATCTTCTCGCGCAAATCTATCATAAAAAAACTGAAATATTCACTTCAAGTCTAAGTGAGAGTGATTGAAACGCGGCAGGGAAGTGAAAATAGCGGAGGTACAGACACAGAGGAAACAAGTTGAAGCTGGAAAGAGCTGTTATCATTATCTTCTCGTGCAAAATCGAATAAACCTATCATGAAAAACTGACATATTCTCTTCAAGTCTAAGCGAGAGTGATTGAAAAGCGGCAGGTTAGTGAAAATAGCGGAAAAACGGACACAGAGGAAACAAGTTGAATTTGGAAAGAAATTTACATCACTACAGTTATTTAATTAAGACGTGTATTTATTGAAAAAATCTACGTGTGTAGCTTCTAAATTGGTCTATTCTGTGTTTATTTTGGCAACTTAACGCACGAAACATCGCCTGATTAAACAAAATGGTTTTAAGTTCTATTAAAATGAAATAAGTATGAGAAGAGTCGTAGAGAAAATTAAGTATCCGGTCAATAAAGGGCATTTGGCACAACACGGCGGCAAAACAGAAACAGACTGTTTAATATTAACCACCACGAAAATCGCCTTGTTTTGTAACGGAATAGTTTTCGGTATTTTCAGTTTTCAAAGATAATCTTTAATCGTTTTTTGAACATAGAAATTCTGACTCTTATCAGAAATTAAAAAAGGGGATACGAGAAACTATTGTCAGATTCCTCGATTGAATAAAACGCGTCGTTTCAAAACGGACGACGCAGATAAACTTAAGAAACAAAACGAATTTTTAAAATTAACTTGATTTTGGCCTGGACTCAGGTATATATATCTGTTGCTGAAAAGGGTTTAACCTTGGCGAAAATTTTTACTTTTCTGCATTGTAAGTTCAGTTTAAGATATGAACTTAGAAGTAACACAATGATTTTATCCAATTTAATTAAAATTTTAATCTTTCTATTTACTAGAGGGATAAAGTCATTGAATGTTCCTTAAACATTGATAACAGGAAAAAGTTTGATGACTGAACAATATTTTGCAGCAAACCCCAAACCCGACGTAAAAATTTTTTCAAACTACATTAAAATAACGTTTTAGTCTTTGTTACTCCTTTACGAGTCTCGAGTAATGTTTTTTTTATTAGCCCCAAGCAACGATTTCGCTTCACGTTGTCGCTAACCCGTACTCGTTGATGTACCAAATCTCGATTGCTTTTCCTGATTTACAAGTATTCTGTCTGGTCTCTAGCCCACTCGCGCAGTTTATGATGGCAGTATGACAGCTTGAGGTTTTGATACAATTTCCTTGAGCACCTTGGCCTTCGATAGTCTTTTCATCGAAAAATTCAGGAAACATTGCCTTTGCAAGATGTATTTCCCCGTTAAGACAGTCCACCTTAGCTGATGAAAGTAATTCCAATGAACCTGAACTAGAACTTGAAGAATCGTCACTGTGTTTGTATAAAACAAACCCTTGCTGAAATGTTTTGACAAGACTTTCGCTGATGCTCTGTCGACAAGCCATTTTTGTTCCCATGGAGGAAAAAAATTTACGGAACTATTTGTTGGGGCTGTCACCCCAAGCAGGCAGAAAGCTCGACTGATATTCGGTTTGGCAAACATCTCATAAAACTACAATGGTAAGTGAAGTTACGTAACGAACATTGAGCTGTCTGCACGAGGCGAGGCACGTGAAACTGTGTGCGCGTGATGTGACTTAGATTAAGGTTTTAAATTAGCGGTGCCGCAGAGATCTTAGTGCAAAGTCTCAAATTTTTTAAAAAAATCTTAAAGATTAAGAAATTGAGATATGATGATACAAAGCTCTGAAAATGGCATTACAAATGAACTTTATTCTGCTTAAGAATAAAACTCGATGAAATCATATCACACATCTTGTATGACTATGAATTACCTTCCCCACAAGAATTTGTTTGAAATTTATTTCTCATTTTGTACTCAATCCATTTTTTAAGTAAACTACAAACAATAATACAAAGAGTTTCTTTCAAATTAGTTTTTTTTCATAATTTTAATTTCAAGCTGGAATGAAAATTTCAAAGAGATTAGTTGATCCATGGCAAATTGTTTGAAAAATGATGTTAATGTGATTTCCATTGATCAAGTCAAGGTCAGCTTCTGCGCACATCAAAGTAATTATTCTTTTATGTCGGAAGGTGACGTCTGGTCTCATTATAGTGATCATGAGAATTTAACCGATGCTGGATATAGATGTGTCAGCGTGCTTTCTTGTTTTGTATCAGTATTAGTTTGAATAAGTATTAAAACAGTTTATGCCAAAAACCAACTTTGATCGCGATTTGAGGGATTTTGCCAGCAAAAGCTTAAGTGCCAACAGATTCGTTCGTTTAATTTATGCTATAATTAATTTGACTACTGGTATCATGGTGGGGCAAGCTAATGGAAGGAGACAAAGAATTATTATTTTTCTCTCTAATTAGCATTCTTGAAGTATAAACTGGGCTCGATTCAAGGCCCAGATCACATGTATCGTGTTTGAGGGATAATTAGCTTAGCTTTCGCTCGTCCAATTTCTGCTTCTTACTCAACTTATGGCACAACCGGGAAATAAGAAATGCAAACTCAGGATCGACGTTGGCGACTTTATGTCATCATGACGCACAAGTTCTAGAGAATAACAAGAATGGATCTATTGCTTCCTATTTCTAAAGGTGACATCACATAGTGTAGTAACAGCCAAAATAAAAAAAAAAGCTATCTAATAATAAATGTCGAATAAGTTCGTTTCTTCACAATATCCAACGTAAATGCCTGCAAAAATAATTCTGTAATCCTAAAAAACTTACCTTAAAGCAGATTCCTTCCCTGAGTGAAAGTCAAAATTGGATTTTTCCTCCTTAAAGCACTTCCATGTTAAACGGAAACTTTAATGACTTTGATACAGTCCTTAAAAATTTATAATCCTTCGTTTTCCAGTGAGACAGCCACAAAAGTCTCAAGAACTCCACTCTCAGTTCATTTTCAATACGAGCCACTCTAACGATTTCGATTTTTCAACATCCAAGTTAATCGTTATGTTCTTCCTCGCAAAGTAACACTATTGATTCGCGGAAATAAAAGAGGATACTTTTTTGAAAGGATTATGTAACTCAGAGTCCTGGAATAACACGTGCAAAGGCAATTGAAGACAACATGGTGTGAAAAGAATTTTTCTTCAATCTAAATTAACATTAAATGAATGTAAATATATGAAAATCATATACATGAACTGCGGTTGAAGAAACGAATATGGAGGCGATCCTCGCGGTTATGGACACTACTTAAGTAGCAGTGAAAATAACGCCTAAAAAAATTCAGGCCAGTAAGCGATTTGTAGCCATGACTATTATTTTCACTGCTTCTCGAGTAGTGTTCATAAATGTGAGGATCGCTTCCGTATTCGTTTCGTCAACCGCAGTTCACATATATGATTTCCATATATTTACAGTCATTTATTCACCACTTCGAGGGTCTATTTGGAAAGCCCAGTTGGTAGAGCGCTGCACCAGTAACGCAGAGGTCATGGGTTCAAATCCCAAACGGGCCTGAATCTTTTTCAGGCTTTATTATTATTTTACTTCTACTTAGGTAGTATTCATAACTTTGAGGATCGCTTCCATATTCGTAAATTAACATTGTTCGATTTGCAGAATATCGCACTTCATGGTATTATGCTGATCAGTTATCGGTGGAATCGACTCGGAACATAATAGCTCATTCTTGGTTTGTTTTACAGTAATCCAGACTTGCTCTTTCTTTTAAGAAAGCTTATTGAAGTGATATTTCAAAGTCACTCCATATCGCTTTTTTCACAGAGGACTTATTTTCAATCAGAGTGGTAAGGTCTAATTCGATATCGCCGTCAAGAATTGATTTCTACGAATTTTTAATCGAAAGTTTGTCCGGTCTTTGTCGATATTTGGGTGTTCCGCTGCCCAGATATGAGTCATGAAAGACTTTTTCAATTCTTTTGACGAACATGAGCACGATTTTTAAATTCAGGTGGGTGAAGTTGAGTAATATTTCCATCGTAATATTCTGTTTACATTCCCTTCAACATCCACCCTTGAATCCGAAAGAAGAACATTATTACTTGCGGAATATTTATTCTGAATTCATGCCCTTGATCAATGTTTTCCTTTGCTTCATTTGTCACAAAAAGAATATCCGGTTCCAATCATATCTATCAATAATCCTCCTCAGACAGACCAAATAATGTCTGCGGTGCACTTTATATCTTGCTGAAGCTCATTACGTAATCCCCTGAAGCGAATATTTAACATATAGACGCACTACCCTGTTAGAAATGAATCTCCGTATGTTACTGCCCGGTTTCTCTGATCATCGTTGAGAATAACCTCGCGTTCCCAAATGTTCCGCTCCTCTTATCCCTTGCGAGCGGGAAACGAGGACCAAATTAAATCGTGCAGTATGTGTCCCATTCTTCCCCACTATCTACTTATTTTGACCTTTTATGATGAAACTAGAGATTATTTCGCAATAAAAGAGAAAAAAAACGTAGCAAGAATAATAAAACATGACTTTTCGCTAAGATACATATTTTGTCTGTGATCTGCTGCATTCTCAATTGGTATGGTAAACTTGAATAAAACATGAACATCCAAATACGGCAGAGATGAAAGCAGCGAAACTGCGTTGCCGCTGGCTAAAAAAATAACCGTCGCTCTCTAGTAGAGTTGAATAACGAAATGCTATGTCAGAGGCTCAAGCGCACGAGGCTTAAAATTCAGGGAAATTTGAGAAAAACAAATGGGCTGGCATTTAAAACCAAGGCATGTTGTTGTCGATGAAGGCAATTTCCTATTTGCAGTATTTCTAGGAAGAAAATTAATGTTTGAAAATATTTAGACGATTCGTAAAATCTGCTTGAATTCAAAACCGCAAAATGTCCATGCAATACATAAACGAATTATGTAATATAAAAAAACTATTAAAGTAAGAACTGACTTAAAATCATAACATGAATATCTGTTGATTGTTATGGGCACTACTGCCATGGAGGGGATATTTCATATGAGTACCCCTACGATAAGATATGAAGGGAAATCTGACTCACATACGGGGTCATTCATTAGAATTGGAGTAAGAAATTTCTTTGGTGTTTTCATTTAACAGGACATTTCGTCTTTTGTCTCTTTTCACGGATTGAGGAAAAATCCGCAAAAGTTTGTAATGTTAAAAATTCTCATGCCATAATGAATAGCCACTGATTGTACGAAGCCAATGAGATAAGATATCAGCCAAGAATACACTTCATAAGTGCGTTTTATTACAACATTTTAATAGCCAGTGAAGCAATCGAGTCTGTCTCGAGTTCCTAAAATTCAATGTTTATCATCAACGTGCTAACACGAGTTCACCTTTGGATTCATTTCTAGCAGATCTATGTAAAGTTCCTCTTTTTCGACGTGCAGTAAGCTTCTACTGCCCTGCAAAACTCGATTTCTTCTGAAGATAGGGCAAGACTCTGAAATGAAATTTAAATCCGTTTAGAGCAAGAAACTTAAAATTTATCGAAAAATGCTAAATTTATCCTCAGGACTGTTAATAATCTTCACTGCAATTTACGTCTGAGTTTATCTCGATGAATAATAATCTGACATCCAACATCTAATGGACAGCTTTAAGAATAGTAATCAGACCAGATTTATAAATAATCCATGAAAGGGGAACTGGAAAAATGGCTTCTAAGTAAATCAAGAATCTTTGGTTTGTATACGACAAGACACGAAGACAGTAAGGAATTACTCTTTGTTCAGGGAGTTTTTATAAAGTGAGCATATTCCTAAAAAAAAACTGTCCAGTAAATTTTGCGAACTGCGTCAACTAAGTAAGCTTAGAATTAAAAAAAAATAAAAATGTACAGTTATCCCATCAACCCACTCATTAGGAAAGCTCGGGCTCCATTGATTTTCTGAAACCACGCAGGGCCTACGTTACACTTTGCCTAAGTAACCAGCCTTATGATTGTATAACGTTCTATCACGTTGCATGAAAATGATTTTATTTATATTTTGCGTCCATTGTCTTTGAAGGGAACTAGTAATTTATGTATTGACGAAACTTCTCACACTCCCTAACTGAATGGAAATGTTTGCGAAAAAACAGCTCGATGGATAAACATCTGCCAAGCGATCGAAAAGAGTCTAAAGAGAGATTGAAACAGTTGCCCGCTATACTAATTTGCTTTCTTGTGCTTTGGCACCAACTTAGTTGTTTCTTTCAAGAATCCAATGAACAAAATTTGAATCTAACCAAAGCAAAAATTTCAAAGAATCTTTTTATCAACCACTCTTGTATGAAATCTGTAGAAAAAACATGAGTTTAGTCGGTAAAGCAGGTTGGCTGCGAAATCAGAAAATGATTCTGTGGTTGGAGTTTTAACGAAGGGCTCAGATGTTTTCAACGAACGACTAAGAAAATTTTTCTTTTTGTTCTGCTCTTGTGTCAAATTTTTAACAATTTTCTTTCTTTCGTTCTTTA